GTTCAAGTTATCAACTATAAAATTAACTTAGTGGTTTGACGTCAGTCTTAAAGACTTCTCTAGATTTATAATACTAAGCAGTAGGAATATTTACTAATACTTCTGGTGGTTGTAATCATTTCTCATTACCATTTATCATCATTTTGCAGTAGCAGTAGCTGAGTGGAGCAGCCCCATATAGCCGTTGCCATTAAAATATCATTTGCCAGCAGCAGCGCACAGTGCTAAGTGTAAGTTGTTTCCTACGCTAACTCCAGAAACCCAATACGGTAGCTCATGTTACATTATGTGCAAGCTGTTGGGAGTTGGTGACTGGTTAATGATGCCCATTATACCTTATTTTCCCTATAAACCGTGGAGATGTTCTCCTCGCTGTTTTCAGAAACCCTGGTCTAATCTGCAGTCAGTAATGCCTTAGATCTGACTGGGGGTAGGGTAAGTGTTTGTCTGAATTTGTCTTCATCAGAACATCTTTCAGGGGTAACCTTCAATCTTTTGATAACTGCTGGAGATGCAGGAACCGTTTCACGAATATGAAATTAAGGAGATGAGAACTTTTCTCCCATTACAGATAACTGTTGCAAGAAAGGAAACCTTTCTGTAGCTTCATGGTTGGGTAAGCTACTATTATCCATGTTAAATTATTTTATACATCTGCCAGTCATGCTCATTTGGGCCTAATTTAAGAGCTGCTGTTTGGACCACTGGAATTTCTAGCTGAAACTTGGTGTGTAGAGGAATTGTTTTTCTTGAAGAGTGTAAGTTTATTGGAGTGACTTGCTCTCTGTGTGCGGATGTGTGCACATGCATGCACAAAACAGAAATCTTAATATGCTTATCTGGAGGTGGTGCTTTGCCTTTTACTTCTATACTGTCCAAATCACTTTAAATTTTTAAGTATTTATTTAGCCTCATAATCCCCTTGTGAGTAATTGAGTATCCCCATTTCACAGATAAGGTACTAATTGATTTCCTCACATTATGCAGGGAATTTGGCAGAGCGGAGAGTAGAACACGTGTCTCTAGAGCCTGAGATTCCCTCCATAATCAGTGGGCCATATTCTCTTTCTGTCTCACTCCCTTTTTTCCTGTTTTGTCTCCCTTTTGTATCAAATTTTGACAAACATACTGTGTGTTATTGAGAGTAGATTCTGGCTATAGATGTCAATTTAGAAATGTGTGTTAGAGTAGCACATCAGCCTGGAAGTGCAGAGGACACTGTCCCAAAGAGAAAACTGGATTATAATGCATGTCAAAGCATAATGACATAGTGCTGCACAAATTCCAGTACCTTGACGTGACTCTGGATATGTGCTATTAGCAAACAGAATCGCATATTAATAAAACTTTCAAAGAACTGTAATAATGAGTCCACTGATTTTCACCTTAAAATGCTTGCTAGACTCTTCCAGATTTACTAACTAGGACAGACATGTTTTTAGTGACTAGAATTTAAAAAAGTAAAATAGCCATTTGTCATGAGCTGTTGCTGAGTTATGTATTTATTATTCTATCTATAATGAATAGCTCTGGAATTCGCAAACTGTTAGTGGTGGTAACCATCTGTTTTAATAAAGCAACATAGATTTTCCAAATGATAAAAAATTATGTAAAGGTAGACATCAAAATTAGGGAATTTTTCTCTGCTTTAGATGATATAAATCAAAATCACTGCCATTTAAAAAATACCGTGAACAAGAAGTAATTAGAAAACTAATTGCTGCTACAGAAGCATTTCACGGTGAAAGCTCATGTTGGCATTTTAGTGGAGCAGCTTGTCTGAGAGAAGGTTTGCAAGCAAGGCTTATGATCCCAAATTTGGAGGGGGGGGAAGAATCAAAAAGCAGCTCTCACCTATGATTTTTAACATGTCCTGTTATGATTAGTGTTAGGAGAAATATTGGGGGTGAATTTTCATAGTAGTTACAGACCTAAGTAGATGAGAAGTAAAATAAACTTATTAATTCTCAAAGTGTTTGCAGTGCTTTGCTTATGGTTAGCATGCCAAGTATATGCCTTACTTGATGTTCTCTTTCTAATTTATATTATATAATTTTCTAAGGCTGTAAAATTTCCTAATATTTTTATTAGAAATATTTATTTTTATGTTATAAAACATGTATGCTCTTTTCCTAAGAGGCCAAAATGGCTACAGGTCTTTCAAGTTAAATACTATACATAATTAGGTAATTTTAAAAATGCATCTTATTTACCCAGAAGTAATTCCAGTCTCTTGACAACCACAAATAAGGAAGATATTTCTTTTAGTGTGTGTGCTTACAAAGCTGCCTAGGCTTTCAATCAATATCTAGTATGCTAGCATACACAAATGTATGCTCTAGCATACTTAAACTGTAGCTTGCGGCATGTACATACTGACTGGGAAACCCTCACTGGAGAAAATACTACTGTGTATATTCAATTATAGAGTTAGAAAACATTTTAAAAGCACTCGAACATCTGTGTCTTATAGCTGTTCAAATCTTTTGTGTAAGTAACTGCATTATTTAGGGGACACGCTTGCACAAAACCACCTCAAACCCATCATTTCTGTCCATGAACTTCGTTTTGACTCTCTCTTTGAGGCGTGAGGTGTCTGTGTTCAACATGGCTAACCGGTTAATAGTAGACGTGCTCCCAGCATGGCAGCTGTAATAGCCCGCAGGTTGTGTGGCCTTTTGCCCATGCTGCTGTACCAGTTTGTGCCGTATGGATTCTGAGGGCTTTGCTGGTTTGCATGCTCTCGAATGCATCAAGTAGCATGTGAGCACGCGTGTGGGCAAGCAGAGCTGGAGCGGCAGAGCGAGAACGATTCCTTTTCCCTGCAGTGAATCCATCCCGTACAGCTGAGGCCGGAGTTAAGAACTTCTCCCTAGCATCTCCCCTACGCTGCTGCTTCCTTAGCTTCAGGCCATTGCTCCTTGTCCTGCGATCTTCTGAGACCAAAGAATTCCCTTCCTTCATTTATATTATTACCTTGAAGGTATTTATAGACTGTGATTGAGGCCCCCTGAGCCTTCTCTCTTTGAGACTATGTAAGTTTAGCTCCCGCAGTCTCTCCTCACACATCTTATCCTCTAATTCCTCTACTGCCTTTTTGAATTTCCTCTAGTATTTTAAACACTCTTCCTAAACTCTGAGTGCCTGAACTAGCTGTAATGTATCACTAAGCAGGGCAATGTTATTAATGCCTGTTTAATATTCACTTTCCCTGTAATCATCTAAGACTGATGCTAACTTGTGCTCTTGCATGGTAGTGTTGTATGCCCCCATTTTGTCAGCTTGCCATTAAATAGTACATTTTTCTTCTTGCCTTTGTGTATATCACACCACAGTGCTAGTGCTGCTTGGTTCTACTTCTTATTGTTACAATTCATACTTCATGCTTTTTAAGCACTTTACCGCTTTCAAATTGCCTCTTATAAAATCCGGTTTTCTTTTTTTTTTTTTTTTTTTTTTTTAGGTTGTAATATGACTACCTCACAGTCTTCAGCACCTTATGGCACCTCTGCTTTGGACACTATGTCCACAGATCTTGAAAGATGAATATATAGGACCCCTCAAGTACTTCCACTTTTTCAAAGTGATACATGACTCTATCACTCTACATGGTGTTAAATAGAAACGTGTCTGTGTCACCAAGCATTCGCTTGCCCAACCACTGCTTTGCACACAGATTGAAAAGTTGAGGAACAGATGTTCCAAGCTATGTACAAAAGGTTGAAGGTAGAGGATGCATTATGCAGTGTACCAAGGCTGGCAGAAAGATTCCTCCCTGGCTTTCCCAATAGTTTCCCAGAACAGTGAGAATGTAAGATGAAGAAATTTTACAGTACCAGCTTTTTCCCTTCCTCACCAATCTGTCAGTTGGTTGTACTTCAGTTGCTGTAACAGTAGTTTAAATTGTTAGATTAATTTTAATTTTCCACTAAATGCTTCTTTTTTTACCTTACCACTTCTCTATCCATGTAATATTTTTACCTCCTGGAAAGATTCTCTTTCAGTGATGATATCTGTTAATTTTATTGAAATGAAAGAAATGAGAAAAAAAATCTTACAGTTCAGAAAGCATATCTAATACTCCAAATTACATTTAAAGAGCAGTGTCAATAAAGCAATGGGGGGAATACTCTTCAGATTCAAACGGACTAATTACCGTAGTAAGGAAAATGGATTATGTCTCTTAATCTGGTAAATAAATCAATCCTCTTAAAAATGACATGACTGTTACCATGTTACCTATCTGAACCTTTATTTTTTGTTAATAGCCGCAGGAAGTGGACAAAATTAGGCAAATAGTCACCAAAGTGGCTCTGATTTCTCTTGAACCTCTCTGAGCTTGGATAAGATAGGTTTGTTTCTTGGCTCACTTCATGAGCACCTTGTGAAGTAAATGTTTAGTATTTTTAACTGGCAGTATTATCTGATAGTCACCTTTGTGAAGGTGGAGAGAAAAGGGTGCTGATTTCAAAGGCAATTTGGCTACTGAGATCAGGTAGTCCTAATGGTAACTGAAGGAAGCTCACAATTACCCCAGATTTTGTCACAAGGTTAACAGGTCGAAGAGAAAGTGTCTGCTGGCTCGTACTAGGGACAAACTTCTGCAGAAACAAATAACTTTTACTGTATCTTCCCTTAAGAGGTGTCCCAGTAACCAGAAAGAAAGCAAGGCCGCTTGATCCAGTTGGAGTTGTAGATTAATCATGTTCAGGTGACCAGAATTAAAGGTGGCCAATTAAATTGAGAGCAAGTGTTAAACTGTACAAAAGTATTTTGAACATGGGAATGACTTGAGCACTGCTTTTTGGTTTTGTTGCTTTATAAAGATTCTTACTATGTGTTTCTGAAAACTAGAGGGGTCTTCATCCTATTTACTGGATTCTAATTTTTTTTAAACTAGATTAGTATTGTGAATCCTTTTTCTTACTTTATATCTTTTCTGGAAATAAATTTCTCTGTGCTTGTAAAGTCATATTAATGTGGTGTTTCTTTACCTGCAGCTGAATCACCATAAAGTAGGATTCTGGCAGAAGAACCTCATTATCACAGGGTATGTAACAAGTTCGATTTCTTGCTGTGGTGTTTTTTTTTTTTTTTTTTTTTTTTTTTTTCCAGAACGTAGCATATGAAAAAGGGGTAATTCTCAGCATTTTGAGAATGCTGAGATAAGTTTTAAAAATTAAACAAATGAGCAGTTGTATGAGATGTTGTATGAGATTGTTGTATAAATAATTTTGTTCAAGATTACTTGTGCTTCTTATATATCATGCATTTAATCTTTATGCATATAATGCTGATGATAAATGAAAAGCTTTGGAAACCTGTTACAAATAGCTGGAACTAAACTGCAGCTCAGTCAGTATTTATATCAGAGCTTTAATTGATTTCCATTTCAGAAGGTTCTTAAACCATTCCACAGATGAGTCTCCAGATCACTTACTAGGTATCTCACCATACAGATAATCTCCAAAACGGGTAAATTAAGGGCAGAAGAGATAACAACTGTGGGAAGTCAGAGTGCAACTCGGAGGCAGACTGCAACAAAGGTAGTTGAAGGAATAGAGTCGCTCAGCCCATTTCCATCCCACAGTATGGTGCTGCTGCACTGAATTCAGAGCTGCACAGTTGTGATGTGTGGTTTTGGAAGAGGCTGGCTATTGGAGGTTGCAAGGAGAAGGTAGTCCTCTTAACGGTGTTCACATGTGGCAGCTCTTTGTGGAGAGGAAATGTGATTCTGTTTGCAGAAATGCCCTAAATTAAAACAGTAAGTCTTTTGAAGCAGCAGAAAAATCATTCACGTACAACCATCTCTCAGAAGAGAGAATGTCAAAAATAAAATACTCATGCAAAAGTTCAGATTCTCTAATCTAAGGCTCCCAGGGCCTTTAGGTCATCTAATAGCTTGATAAAACAGAGTAGTTCAGAGGAAAGTGCTTTCACTGGGAAGTAGATATCAATAGCAGTGGGCCTTTGCCAGAGTTATTGGATGAGCACCGAATTAACAGTTGTGGATGCAAGCTACTTAGAGCAGCTTTATGGGAGAGGCTTGTGGCTTTTTACGATTATAGGGTATTAGATATCAGACCCAAGAGATTAAATAGTGTATTTGTTATTAAATGAGAACTTAACCACACTGTTAGAGAAAGGCTGTATTTTACAGTATTACGTGGTATAGATTCTTCTTAACGTTTCAGCAAGAGGACATGTGAATGAATCTGTGTAGTGCTGATGTGACCCTTAAGCATAGGAGAGAATGAAGCCTGGGAAAGTGCACTGGAAACAAGCTTCAGTAGGAATGTTTTTCTCCATATTTGTCTTCTGATTTAATGTAAAATCTTCTGTAAAAGCCACATGTGGGAAAACACAAAAAAGCAGCTTCTCATATTATTGACTGTTTGCTGTCAGGCCTACAAATCAAAGGCTTGACACCTTAATTTCCACTTAAATTTATAATCTGTAGTCTGCATGAGTCCTGTGTGTCTGCTGAGCATTTCGCATGCCACATCCCCTGAAAGGGGAAAGCCCTTTGCTTTCAGTGAGCGAGGGGAGGCCTGTGTGCCTGGCCCAGCAGCCGTGCGTGGGCGAAGGAAGCGCTCCCTGCAGCATCAGGTGCTCGGGAAAGCGAAGCCTTAGCAGCTGGCACGAGGGGTATCTGCTTAGTCTTTCTTCTCCCTGGAACTGATCCATGATCTCCCTTTCCTCGACTCCCTCTAGCTTGTGATTCTGGAGGGGTTTGGAGGGGGGAGGACCCCTTCCAGCTTGTTTGGAGCGGGGAGGACAGGGGCTGCAAGGGTCAGACTGAGCCAGTCATTCACATGGGTCAGCGTCAGCAAAAGTCTGCGCATCCTGGGAGACACACAGACTCCATGTCCTGAGGGAACAAAGAAGAAATTGCCTCTTTGAAGAAAGAACGAGATATCTCTTGGAGGGGCTACAGTAGCTTGTGTCTTCCTTGGAGAGGGTGAAATTGCCGAGAGACTCTCAGCGGGGAGATGGGCAAATGGAGCAGGTACCCATGTGTATGCTGGTGATCAAGGAGGAGGAGGAGACCTCTTTCCAGCATTATCCCTGGCATTTGAGTTCCTCATGATAAGGCCTCTTGACAACAGGAAGGGAGCAGCAACTTGGAGAATCAGGAGAAAGATTTTCCTTGTGAAGGTTTGGCATCCCCCCTTGCCTTCCTTCCCTACTAGTTCCTCCCTTCTTTCCCTACTGTTAAATGGAATTTGATGTTGTCAGCAGTAAATACAAAATATGTTATTTTTTTCATATCCTTTAGGATAGAAATTAATTAAATTGATAAATTAAATAACCTTTAGAACCAGTTAATTTTTGCCTCTGCTGCTGAAAAGCCTTGACTTGTCCATGATGTGCAAACTTCCCAGTCAACAGGTGGAAACTGAAGAGCTTTCTCTCATAAGTTAGGCCTTCAGAAGTGTGTGTATGATTCTGAAAATGTGGTTAAAGCTGAATGGTCCCCAGTAAAACTAACTTTAAGGAGCTGTAAGTAACATGACAGCTAGGGTAAATTTCCAGTCTCACTACAATCCTTACACAGGCTTCAGCTGTTTGAACAAATGCAACAGCGTCTGGGTGTCCAAATATCAGTTTTTGACCTACCTGCTTCATTTTGTTCTTCAACCTTCTCTCCTTTTATGCTTCTAGAACATAAGACTTCGTCTTTTTAGAGAAAGAAGCAGGAGCAGCTGAAATATTGCTTCTGCAGCTAATGTACCTGGCTACAAATATGATAGTAGTCTATAATTTAATTTAGGAAAATTAGAAGGCTATTTCTGAAGCAGCAACGTTAGAAATTGGAGTCTATTTATCACCTGCAAAGCTAGAGCTCAGATAGCAACAGTGCAAGCTTCTTCATATTGGTCCCTAGTGTGATATTAACGTTGGCTGGGAGTTCATTTTGTGGCCCCTGCTTCAGAGCAAAGCTAACCTAGTGCACTAAACTGCACACTCTGCTTAGGAGGACGTGGTGCAGGTAGGAACAGTGCTGAGGCTGCCAGGCCCACACTCTCCAGATAGGATTCAAGTTCCAGTCTTGGAAAGGGAGACCAAATAGAGCCTTTTTTGCTAGATGTGCTGGTGCGCAATCAAAGGCTCAAAGAGCTGTGAAGCTTTTGAGTGGGTTGTCAATATGTACTGCTAACCCACTGTGGAAATTTGACTCACTGCATTGTAATAAATAGCACATGCTATGTCAGATTTGCTCCCTGAAAAGGTCTAGAAGACAGATTTTATATGCAAGTATACATAGATAAACTTGATTTTATTCTGTAGAAATTTGTCTAGATACTCACATTTTCTAAAGTCTGTTTCCATGAGCAGATTTTCACTAAGAATTCAGTAAAGCCATTGAGTTTTGTACTTGCAATCAATGGCATGTATTGCACAGTAGCAGGTGCTACATTGTTGCGTGATGTATTTTTCCGTAGAAATGTGGATGCATTTTTCTGATTTGCAGACGTAAGATGCAGTTGCTTTATCATGTGAACATTCAGCAGCAGCTAAGAGAGTATCAGTGAAACTGCAGATTCTCCATAAACTGACAGTGTTCACTGGACCCTTTCTACTGGCACTTACAACAAGCTATAATGCTTAATACCATTTCATGCTCTTTCATGCTTCAAAGCTCCACTTAGATCTTTTAGGCCTTGAGACTTCTGTCATTCAGGAAAATATCAGCATATGTTGAATTTCTTGGAATCTTTTGACTGTTAAGATTTTGCACCTACTCTGTTTTAGTTCAAAAGAGCATGAGTTCAAAAGAGTGTAGTGATTCAACAGAGTGCTTTTGACATGGAATAAGCAAAGACAAGGATTCTGTTTTAGCATGGTGAATTCACTGTATTTTCCTGATTTGTATTGTAAAGACTTTTCACAGGGTGATGATTTGGCTTTTTCAGAGTGAACTCCATCAGAATGACTTGGAGTTTTAGCGACAAAGTCTGTAGCTGAACTGCTAAGACTAAAAGTAAGGATAAATATTGTCAAGTACAATTCTAAATGAACTGTAACTAGCCTTGTATTTCTGTTTTGGTAAATGAAAGAACATTTCCTAACTTTTTCATCGCAACTACATAAATCGCCCGAGTAGTAATTAGGCTGAGACTGGATTCCGTTCTTTGACTTAGAGCATCGCCTCACAGAGGAGACAGCAAGGGAATTATTTACCTTTTAATTGTAGTTCTCTGAAGGTGGGAGTCTCTGTGGATTCATGCTCAGGGGGTCTCAGCTGTTGTGACCTTGGGTACTGAATGACTAGATTAAATGGTAAAGTTTAGAACTGGTCATAATGAGTTAGTACAAAAAGATGCCTTGAGGGGTCTATATGGCATATCATAGCCCCTAACTCCCAAATCCTTTTCAGACTAATTATAATAATTAGAACTTAAATAGGAATAAAAACCCAGCTCTCAGGGGGAGGTGGGAGGATGAGTGTGGCTCTAATAGCGGACACCATACTCGGAGAACTCAATTATAAGCAAGTAATTTCCTTCTCTCCAAAAGGTAATTGGCCTTTTCCACATCTCTGTTCTCACAGATGATGGGGGAGATTGTATGGAGCAGGTACCTGCCACCAGTAGGAGCCAGGATTGCTGGAGAAGGCGGGGAAATGAAAACCAGCAATGACCTAGACTGTTCCTGGGCTGTCTGTTCCTGGACTATAAAGGAAATGGTCCGAAGAATATGAAATGCCTGATAAAATATATGCAAAGAAAATCGTAGAAATATGATAGGTGAGTGCATTGAAAAGGTGGTGACTTTATAGCCCTGAAGTTGGATGGCTTTGGTACTTGCCCTGAGTATGAGCAGTTCTATCAGCTTGCTATTGCATGCCAGTATCCTGTTGATATCCTGACCACCCCAGAGATAACTGTTGAAATTTGGCTTTAACCAGTCCTTGGAAGTGCTGGTTAGTTCAGATGTGACAACAAATTCATTATAAAGATTATGCTTTAGGTTTGGCTTAAAAATATATATATATATATATGTTGTGTTTAAATTTCACTTTGACTACACAGTTTTATTCAAGGTACTTCACTGTCTCATGTTGCCAAGAAAAGAAACCTCAGGAGTAACTCAGGATTCTTCTCCTCGTTCAGTTCTTGCTCACAGGACCGGGACACCTCAGTGGACAATGCAACTTTTCAAACATCTAAGTGAGCTAAGGTTTGTGATGAAAAATAGAAAAATATTCCACTGATATTCATTCATATTGACTTTGAGTGCATTAGTTTTATGATTCTTTCTAATATAGGGAATTCGATTTACTGTGAATGTTGACTGCAAGCATTTGCTTTATTGGTTAGGGACAAAACTATTGCTTTATTGGTTAGGGACAAAACTAGCTGAGTAGATCTGTGATTCAAGTTAACAAATTATCTCATGTCCTGCTGAGGACAGACTACCGGGCACATTGATGGCTTTATTTTGACATTATTCAGGAGCCTCTGAGTTTCACATACAGTTAATAAAAGGCATAAAGTTCTGACTGGGAAAGAAATGCATTGCTCTTAGTTTTGAAGCATTTTACAACTGACTGGTTCCATCTGACAGTAGTCACAGTACAGACAGTGACTGCTTGCAAAGACAGATGTTTTTATCTCATATCCTGTAATTCTTTGTCGTCAGGAGGAAAAAAAACCCACTTCCAAGCACATGTCTTTTATATAATACCAAACTGGCTTCACAGTCTGTATGCTCTGTGCTCTGCCCCCCTCAAACCTCTATGTTTTGAGGTAATATTCTCCAGCTGTAGCAGGAGTCCATCTATAAAGTCAGTCCCAAATCAGAAAGTTGAGGCCTGTGTCTAGCTACTGTGACATCTGGGGATACATCTGAAAGCCTGCTTTCCCCATGAACTTTTTGGTTAGAGACAAACTGCAGCTGCCCAGTATCAGCTAGAGAGGGGCTCTGCAGCACTGCACAACTCCCCATCTGCAGCTGCCTCCCTGTTGCTTCTTGCATTGGGTATCGGCAAACTTCTAACTAGCAAATCTGCAAATGGGGATTTTTAACCTCCTCATCTATGTTCAACATCTGGGCTGTAAAGGCAGGGGTTGCCATGGTAACAGGTTGTTGCCGAGTGACAGTGTTCTGATGTCATCAGAAAGCAGCCTATTCCCATGAATACCTTGAACTCAATAAATAAAAGTGCTGCCCTCAGTATAGTTCAATATGGAAACAATTAGACATGCATGTTTTTGTGCTGTTATGAAATAGCTCTTTCCTGTGTGCTGGTACGTCTTGACATCTGCAACGGTGTTTTCAAAGAAAACAGGAGAATTACTTTGAACTTGCTCGGAAAGGGTTATTTTGTAAAATATGTATGTGACCGTGGGTGTTTGTTGTATTAACAATAATCATTACCTGCCTATCTGCTATGGACTGGCTATTGTTTAACTTTAATGTTTTATTATGCATTGCAAGGTTTAGATGAGTTTTTTGCCTCCTCTTCATGAAGACCTAGGGGTTTCATGTTTAATGATGTTTTATTCTTTTCTTAGTGCTTGACAAGGAATGCCCTTCTCCTTGACATACACTGTATATATATAAATAATGGGCACTTCATAAATTTCTACCTTTGTACTTGCCTAAATTCCTAAGTGATAAGTAGCAGCTCTGAGATGGAGTGGCAGCAGGGAGGCCATCAGCAGTACAGCACCATACAGCAGGTTTTACATGTCCACTGCTTATACTCAGGAATCTTGGTTGAATACAAAGAGTTGTGTGAGCCTTTTTCTGGATTTTTCATCTGTCTGTGTTCCTAGGCATGTAGGAATCTTTGGATGGTCAAGGCATGTACATTGTTTGACTGAGCATCTCATCCTCAATTTCTCATGTGGAAAAAGGCAGCATTGGCTGAGATGTTTCTTTTCTGGCTAGCTGTGTGTTAGCAAATGTTGGAGACAGCAGTAATAGTACCAATGCAGAGATATTGGTATGCAGTGCCAATAGTGATAACGGAGCTGGATGCGTAACAGCAGAACTATTTCTCTTGCCATAAAGCACATACTGTATCTTTATCCTTCTGGTCAATCTATTCTAGTACAGCCTAGAACGTGCAAGGATTCCAGCCCTCTGTATCTAGGCTGGAAATGGAAACTGTGAATACAGGGCCACACACAGTGAGTGCCCCTCTCATCTGGATGTCTCCCTTTAGTTCATTTCAGAAATGCCATTAAGGCTCCACTCATCTTCTGATCACTTGCTCTAGATCTCAACAAGATTGGGAGCGAGAGTGGAAGGTAGTCCTGCCTTACCCTCTTCAATGTGAGTTCTTCTTGCTCCATCTTTGCTTTTTTTCCTACCACCTTTAAAACAACATATGCTCCCTAAGATACCTTACCATCTTATCAATTTTATTACTATTATTTTCCTGTTATTATTTATTTCCTATTATTTTATTTCTGTTATTTTATTCTTATTATTATACACATAAAAGATGTAGAATCACTGGAAAAACTCATCTATATATTCATTTTAAAATACAGCTAAAAGGAGCTTTTTGGAAACACCAGTATACGCAGAGGTTGGACTAGAGTAGATGGGGAGATGTAGTGTTTGTAAGGGAGTGTTTGCATGCTGCATATTTCTCTCACCTCAAGTCAGAGGAAAACTTCTGCAAATCTGTTGCAATAATAAGCAGTTGTATTTAAGATCAGTCTTTTTCTTATTTTTCATAGTGTGCAGAGGATTATTTTTTCCAGTTAAAGATTAGTGTTCTATAAAAATCGGTTAGCCCATGAAATTGTGTGCTGGAAATGAACTCTAAAAATAATATTTCATCCTCATATTTCTACTAGAAAAATACATTAATTGGTCTGATCTGCTTTCTAATAGCAGCATTTGTTACCCATTGAGGCAAATAAATTTGTTTAATTCCCATTTATTTTAATTCCCTTGGAAAAAAAAGATAATTTATATTTCATTCCATGTAGGACACTCTGGACTTATGCTATCTTGCAGCAGAGAGTTGGAGAATGGAGCAACAACTGTATTATTGAAGAGCTCCATAGCCACAGACTGGGAAAAGCATGATCGGATGTGATTTTCAGAACAGATGCCCAAGCAGAGTTGGCAGTTAATTAAAAGCACTATGTACTTAATGATTAACTAATCACAGCGTGATGGCATTCAACGGAGATGCAAGAAACTTCTCTGCTGGATTCAACAGAGAAACTCCTAATGTCTGCCTTCAGGGTACCGTACTTACAGCCGTTTGCTTTTGCATTACCAGCAGAGACAACACAAGCAGTTAGTCTAGCAAATTTCATTAAGCATTGCTTAGTTAAAACTTTAAAAACAGGAAAAGATGAGCTTAGTTAATACCATATCAACTGTAAATATTGCAGTTTGTCTTTGCACTGGTATTCCACAGCCATACTGTCAAGCAATGATTACAAAGCATTATAAACACTTAATCATGCTTCATGAGGTTAAGTATTATTTATTATTAAAATATGTTAAGTATTATTTCCATTTTACCAATGAGTAACTGAGAGTATAGAGAAGTTACATGACATAAATGATATGTCAAATAACAGTCTGAAAAATTCTATATTTTCACCTGTTCATTTCGAGGTTATCTTTTTACTCTTTTTTTGGGTTTTTTTTTGTTATTTCTTTTTATCTTACCTTAAATATTCACTTTGCCTGTCTTCTGCTGTCAGACATTGACTGTCTTCCTACTTAAATTTATATATGGCACTTAACACCATGAGATACTAGGGTCTGGCAACCCAATTAAATAATAATTGCAATTTTTCTGCATTTTGTAGACTGTGTGCTTCTGAATTGTATTGCATGGCAAGTAATGAGAACCAGAAAGGAGTATGACAGTGTATTTTTTTAAAATTCAAAGTTCAGATTCAATTATGATATTGAAAAGAACATTCTAAAGTTATTGTTAGAAGTCATTAGATCTGGTATGGAAATATTTGGCAAAATCTAGCAGACTTTTTTTCTGGTAGGTAAGTACTCTGACCATCAGAACATCTGGATTCTCTTCCTGATCTTGCCTCTGTATGAGAATTCAAGTTACTGAACTGCCCTTCTCAAATTCTAGGGTAGAGAATACACAACTTGATGTAAGGTGTACCAAGAGATGCTTGATGTAATTAAATGCATATATGGAGGATTAGATATTCCTGGCTAGCCCAGGAGGGTTATCACCAAAGCAAACATTAGGGCATATTTGCTTGATACCTTTTAATTTTTCTTTTCCCTTACTGTTAAGCAGGTTGTCTTAAGGAAAAAAAACCCAACATTTATTATCTCCCTGTTCCTTGTCATCCTGGCTAGCTGGTCTACACATGCTATGTCTCGGTGTAAAATTACATTTTCTTGAAGCTTTCAGAAGCATAAACGAACAGCTTTTTAAAGAAATGGATGCATAGAAATACTGGCTGTGGTGGCTGTTCTCTCTGCAGTGGTAGTGGCCTTTCGGTGTGTTTTCCTGTCAGACTGGGTCTGGGTCCTCGCATCACCTCCTGATACTCCCTTCTGCCTCTCTTCATCCTCTCCTCATCTTTGCTGCACCAGCCACCCACTCCCCGGTGAGAGACCTCACCAGTGGTCTCTCAGGGACAGTCCCTCTAAGCAGGCCCCAAGGAGAGCCCTGCAGTAGCAGCTCTGCTGTACTTAACACATGCCCAGCTGGTAAACCAGTCCTGTTTCATTTCAGCTCAATACTGCTGTATGCACATGGTAAAGCACAGAAGATAAAGGTGTCAAATAGAGATCGTGTCTCTTAGGTGTCTGCCTAAAACAAGAGTGTCATTTTCTGGATCCCCATGGCACTGCTCCAGCTTTCCACAGCTGTCTCAAATTGAGTTTGTTCTGCTCAGCCTGCCATCTCGTGGTTGTAGGGATGTAGCTCAGCAGAACAGACACCTTGTCCATGAATTTTGCACACTGACTAGGATATGTGGCCAGGGCAGCCCAAGTAGTATTGGTTATTGTCCAGAAGCCTTAAAAAATGTGAGGAACTTAAAATTCTTTTTCAAGTGGAAGTCAGAGTTGCCCTGTGGAGAAGCCAAAGCCAAGTCCAGCAACTAAAATCTTTTCTACTTTAAGACTGTCTTTTTGATGTTTGCTGCATAATTATTTGCTAAAGCAGAGTATTCTTTTAAACAAGATACTAGAAAATATAGAGCTAACCCTGTAATCTTGTGCTGACTAGCTGTATTAAAATATAGGCATTTTGTGCTCAGTCCCAGAGCTTGTGGAATCCTGCGGTTCTTGGGCTCTTAGCAGTTCTTGCATTTGTTAGAATCCTAGTGTCAAGCAAGAAAATCCTGAATGTTTGATCCGAGGAGATGCAGAGTTGCCTTTCTGAGTCTGATTGTAGCTTGAAACAGCTTTGAGGTGGAGTGGGCAGCTGCATCATGCAGCTCAGTTGGGGTTTTAACTCAACATGTCTCTGGGGAGTCTTGATATCTACTCCAGTTGAAAGCCCATGGCAGCAGGACATGATGAGGCAGGTCCATCGCAAGTGCTTCTGCAGGTACCTCCTGGCAACTGAAGAGAAGCTGAAGGCCACCTAAAGTAAGGGGAACATCTGTAGTTCTCAAAGGAGCCTCAGTAACTACTCTTTGCTGTAATAATTTATTTCCATGAAACAGTAGAGGACAGCAACCTGTAAGCTCAGCTCACATTGCAGTAAACTTCTGAGGTTTGCAGCCACCCCAGCTGCTGCTTAGAAGACAGGGAAGTCCCACTGCTGTTAGGCAACAGCATGGCCATGGAGTCTGAAAAGAAGTGCAGCTGGAGCTCTGTTGTGGTGAGCGATCAATAGCTGAATCACCAGATATGGTCGCATTCATAGCTACCTTTCTGCATCTAAATACCTGTTTTGCTATAAGTGATGTCAGCAAGGATGACATGGTCAAAAAAAATGCTAAGAGTCAACAAAGAAAAATAATAGTTTTGAAGTTGGTTACCAAGTTAGAGGTATTAAATTAACTGTTAGCACAAATTGTCCTGCTCGGCCTGACAGTAGATCTTCTGCTCAGAACAGAAATAAAAAGATTAAAAAGAAGTGATTCTAAAGTGAGTCTGCTTTTGGTGCTCCACATATTGAAGAATATAATGTCCTTGCTTTCAAGGTAGAAAAACAAAGGCAAGAAGTGCAACGTGAACAAAGCATGAAGTACTTCTCTCCATGGTAACATGTTGCTTGAGTGGTAACGTGTTTTCTGTGGTAGGTAGGATATATAGGATGCCCCTGAGCCTCGCAGGACAAAAGCAGCTTGACTAGTTCTCTATATATACTTTGAAGGAGCAGCTAAACACAAAGCAAATGAGACACTTATTCAGATTGTAATCAAAAAATGGAGTGTTATTTGGCATTATAATTGAGTTGTGCCAGTGGATCAGAACTTTCTGTGGTGAAAGTGTGCCTTTTTCCCCCCCTTTTAGACTGCTTTTTAAGACTAAAATTCTTTTGGAGATCTAAAAAAAAATAATAGGAAAGGGCACAGTTTCATTGGGAAACAAAGGAGTTAGGTTCACTCTGCAGTGTCCTAAGCCTAAAGGAGGGTGACCATCCATCCTTGCAGGGATAGTAGCATAAAACTGAGAGTAGTAGGCAAAGCCAAGAAGCAAAAATGTTCATCACATTTCTTTGTATATTTATGTTTGTTGGAATTATTCTCTGGATTTTTCATCTCCTCAGAGCACCTCTCCCACACACACGCAGAAAATAGATGCCAAGAAACAACAAGAGCAGAAAGCATCATTTGTCATGACTAAAGTACCAGGTTCTTCCATAGAAGGAGCCAGTCAGTCCCAGGCAGAAGAGTTTGCTCTCAAGCCTTCATGTCTGCTGCCACAGATGCCATGAAGCTATCAAAGGTGGAACTAATACAGCCAAGTTGTGATGTGTTTTTGACCCCTTCCCTTGATAGCTGTTAAACATTGCTCCTTCAAAGGAAAAAAAACTAGCAGGAGTGGAAGATCAGAGGGCATTAATGTTCTTCCTGCTGATGGTTTAGTGTTTGGATTTGCATCCTTATAAGGGTGAGCTCTCATCACTTCATAGGATATAGCAGCTTGTTCATGAACTGACAAGAGCACTAAAGGAAAATCAATGCTTGCCAAATTGAGAAAGAGAAGTCCACCAACGCAGCAACAAAGAGATACTGAAATTGAAATCTTCAGACTATGGAGAATAAGCTAGCTTGCAAAAAGTATTTGAATCATCTTTTTTAAATGATACAGACTCAGAGGAGAAGATTGCTTGCAGTTAAAGCACTGAGCTGTGATGTGGATAGCTGATTTCTATTACTGCTGAAGAAAGGCTCCTTTGGTTAGTGGTTAGAATGCAATAGAATGCAAACAAATACTGTGATTTTGATCTTTAACCTATACCTCTTACCTCTCCAATTCTTTTTTTTCATGATGCGGATCAGCATTATTAGTGATAAAAAATCATAGTTTTTAAGCTATTAAACTCATAAAATCATCTTTTTTTGTGTTAGAGTTCATAAAAATATCTATTACATCTTTCAACATACAAAGTTTTACCTAGAAAATTCTTCCTATCGGGCTTCAGATTTTTTCTGTAAACCAAGATGATAATGGTTTGTGTAAAGACAGTAGCTGAAACACTTGATATTGAACAGGTATTATCCTTCTGTGAAATCTATCATAAGTACTAACTAAAAGTATGTTACAATGCAGGCATTGTTTCCACTAGCTGTAGAGATCATCCGGGCTACACTTGACTAGCACTTGAAAAGCATTGTAGTGGGATAGAACTTTGCATTATGTAGTGGAGTGTAGTTTGTCTGCGACCTTATAAAAGAAAAAGAATCCTATTTTAGAATAGGTATGCATAACTAATTAGATATTTCAGAAAAAGTGTCTCAAGGCAATGCTATAGTGCTCCCTCTATTTTTTTATACAACAGAAAATAGTTTACAAACAAAACAATTAAAAAATTAAATCTATCAATTGGTTCTGCGTGTTGCAATGTAAACTTCTTAATTTTCAGCAGACAGAAGCTTAGAGGATGAGCTGACCTTGTAGAAACTTAGCCAACCTCAGCAATCTACTGCCAGATGTGTGCTTCATTATTCAAGTGATACTGCACTGTCAGGCTCCTTTTGAAACAAAGTGGACATGCCAATCCAACGTCTGGTCCTCAGATCCTTAGCTACTGTAAGTAGAAAACACTGTACAG